GCCGAGCCGAGCCGAGCAAAAGCTCAACCAAAAAATTTAGGCTCAACACAAGTCAGACAGATTTTTCCCCCCTATATAAACAATAAAATATGCAGCTTATTTTTTTTGTTTTAAGTTTTGCTAGTTACTTTTTTTTTAGACTGGGCTCGTCACGTGTCGAAAATGGAGCTCAGCCCAAGCCTGGGCTCGATCCTACCGAGCTAGAAGTCGGCCCGATTCAAACTTTTCTTGGGTTAAGTCACGGGCAACCCGAATTGACGAGCCGCATTGACATCCCTACAAGTAACCATCAATAAACAATTCCGTGGAAGTTGGCTCCCCCACGTCTCGGTTTGAAGAACTTGTCTATTTAGAAATTATTATTTGTTTAAAAGACGTGATTATTCAGTAAAAACATCTTTTTACATCAATGGGTACTGTCTTTTTCGAACAGATACATTTCTCATATGAGAATAACATGTTCATTATTAAAAAATAAATAATGCTATTCATTCAGCCCCGAGCCCCATTTTTTTTAAGAATATATTTTTCAAACTTCATTTTCAACTAAAATTTGTTTCATAAAATAATTATATGTATGTTTCAAAAAAATTCTTTATTTTTTAATTATACATTCTCCCAAAAAAATAAAAATAAAAATAAAAAATCACTACTTTATAATATATTTTACTTAAAAATAGGATGAAACCGGGGGTTTAGAATGCACGATGATATCTAGACGGTCAACAAATGTAAATAATGGCAATTCGATAAATTGGTTTCACTGCAGTCAGTACTTACTGCAAATGTGGGTACCACTGATAAATACAAATGCTAAGAGGTTGTTCTATTTTCCGTTTTCAAATAGTTTTCCGTTTTCAATTTTTCAAAACAATGAAAACACGTTCTCTTTCCTATTTTTTAAAACGCATTTTTCAAAATGAAAAAAAAATTTACACAGAAAACTGAAAACGCCCAAAATCTCGTTTTCATCATTTTGAAGCCAAAACGAGTGATTTTCAGAAAACATGGGAAATGAATTCTCTCTCTCTCTCTCTCTCTCCCCCCCTCCTCCCTCAACCTCCCATAACATAGGGCTTTCTCTGGGTTTCCTCTTCCAATCTCACAAACCCATGACAGTTTCTTTCAACTCATGTTGACAATGTGGATCTTGGTGATGTTAAGGTACAGAGAAACTTACCCAATTTTTATTATTTTCATTTTCTTCGCACTGATTCGTTGAAGTGAAGAGAAGAGAAAGAAAGAAAATCGGTAAAGCATTTTTTTGGGATGACCAATTTTATACTATTCCTGATCGCTGTGTTTACTGATTCTTTGAAGAAAACCACTCAGATTAAGAATTGTTAATAGGCT